GTCAATTCAGCTGTTGAAGCTTCGGCTGTTGTATGCTTCGTGAAGTTCTCGTGTTGTATTTTTCAGCTCCATCAGTTCACTTATATTCCTCTCTAAGTTTATTCTTATTAGCATTTCGTCAAATCTTTTTTCAAGGTTCTTAGTTTCTTTGCATTTCGTTAGAACATGTTCTTTTAGCTCATAGAACTTTCTTATTACCCACCTTCTGAAGCCTGATTCTGTCAATTCATCACACTCATTCTCCATCCAGCCTTGTTCCCTTGCTGGTGAAGAGTTGTGATCCCTTGTAGGAGGAGAGGCGTTCTAGTTTCGGGTGTTTTCATCCTTTTTGCACTGGTTTCTTCCCATCTTTGTGGATTTATCCACCTGTCATCTTTGTAGTTGTTGACTTTCAGATTGGGTCTCTGAGTGGATGTCCAGTTTGTTGATGATGAAGTTATTTTTTTCTGTTTCTTAGTTTTCCTTCTTACAGTCAGGCCCCTCTGCTATAGGACTGCCGAGGTCCACTCCAGGCTCTGCTTGCCTGGGATCACCTGCAGCGGCTACAGAACAGTAAGGGTTGCTGCCAGTTTCTTCTTCTGCTATCTTTGTCCCAGAAGGATACCCACGAGATGTCAGTCTGAGCTCTCCTTTATGAGGTGACTCTTTGGCTATACAGGGGTCAGGAAGCTGCTTGAGGAGACAGCCTGTCCTTTATAGGAGCTCAAGTGCTGAGCTGTGAGCTCCGTTGTTCATTAAGAGCTTCTGGGCAGGTATGTTTAAGTCTGCCGCAGTAGAACTCATAAACCCCCCTTTTTCTTTCCCAGGTACTCTGTCCTGGGGAGTTAGGGTTTTAATTATGAGTTTCTGTTGTGCTGCTGCCTTTTTTCAGGGCTGCCCTGCCCAGTGAGGAGGCAGACTAGTCACTGTCTGCCTGCAGAGGCTTTGGTGAGCTGCTGTGGGCTCTGCCCAGCTGCCGTGTGAACTTCCCTGCAGTCCCGTTTATACAGGTATAGTTAGAACTGCCTCAGCAATGGTGGCCCACCTTTATAGTGGCTGACTCTCTCTTAATGGTGGACTGCTTCAGTAATGGTGGACTACCTCCATAGTGGTGGACTGTCTCGGTAATGGCGGATGCCCCTCCCCCACAGAGCTGGACCGTCCTGGGTTCAGCTGTGCTTACTGTGAAACTCTCAATCCAGAGTGTTTCTCATTGCTGTTTTTTGTGGGGTTGGGGACCAGCCGAGCCTGATCACCTGGCTCCCTGCCTCAGAGCCCTTTTTTTTTTTTTTTAAGTTGAATGGTCAACTCTGTCTCCCAGGTGTTCCAGTCACTTGTTGAAAAGGTGCCGGGATCTGTGTGATTTCCCGTGTGGCGACCCACTGCGCTGGCTGAAACAGCTGTGCTGAGATTCGTGGTGCTTTTTTGCCCTGGAATCTCCTGGCCTGGCTCCCTGTGTCAGTCCCCTTTTTTGTCAGTTGAATGGGTGACTCTGTCTCCCAGGAGCTCCAATTGCCAGCTAAAATGGCACCCGGACCCATGTATTTTGTATTAAGAAACGCTGGGCTAGGGCACTGGCCAAAACAGCTGCGCTGGCAACCCGTGGGGCTCTTCTGCCTGGGAGTCTCCTGGTCTGTGGGCAATAAAAATCCGTTTGGAAACGCCGTGTCCACTCACCTTCATGCTTTCGCTGGGAGCTGCAATCCTGAGCTGCTCCTAATCAGCCATCTTGGATCCATCTCCTAAAATTTTTTAAATAGATAAAGACAATGGAGAACAAAGGAAAAGAGGAAGTTGCTTACAAAAGGACTTAGAAAAGTAATAACATTTCCAAATAAGGAAGGGGCATAGACTGTGAGCTGGAACATGCCTGTGAGCATGTCCAACATAAATATCTTGGTTAAAGTACAAGGACATAAAATGTATGTATTCCCTTATATCTCACAGCTACATAGGATAGGGCTTAACAAAGAGTTACTAGCAAAAAGCAAGAAGGCTTTAAAGAAAGTTAGTCTTTAAAAGAAACTATTACTTCTAACATTTATTATTATTATTATTCTTTAATAAGAAGGGAAACTTTGAGGAGGAACTTTTTACTTTCTACAATGAATAATAGCAAATATTTTCCCCGATTTTGTACTTGGTGAAAAACAAAATGAATAGGTTATCTGATGGGCTCCACAAGGTTGGTTTTGAGAATATTCTTTTTTTTTTTTAAATTTTTTTTTTATAAGAACCTGATAAAGCTTATAAGGTTTTGAGGATATTCTTGAGAGCCCTTAGGTAACTCTGAGGCCACAAATCTTATGTTTATTTGCACATTGTAAAATACATATTTTCTTTTTAGTACGTCATCAAAAAACTGAACCTCCGAAATGCCTCTAGCCGAGAGCGGCAAGCTGCTGAACAGGAAGCCCAGCTCTTGTCTCAGCTGAAGCATCCCAACATTGTCACCTACAAGGAGTCATGGGAGGGAGGAGACGGTCTACTCTACATTGTCATGGGCTTCTGTGAAGGAGGTGACCTGTACCGAAAGCTCAAGGAACAGAAAGGGCAGCTTCTGCCTGAGAATCAGGTGGTAGAGTGGTTTGTACAGATCGCCATGGCTTTACAGGTACTGTGTAGACTAATGGCATCCCAGCTTGCTCCCAGATAGCAAGGAGATGGCAGGTGTACTTTTGGAAAATGTTTTCTTCAAATACTTACATATAGAAATGTACCCAATCACTTTTGCTGTAGCATTGGAACTTTTCTAGCAAGTGATACCTATATTAAAATAGATTTCATGTCTAATTGCAGGGGAAGCCCACATATTCAATATCAATAGCAAAGTCAATTTGAGGGACCCTGAGGCAACCAAGAGCAAAGAGTGACTATGTTTGTTATCTGTTGGTCAGCTATGTCATGCTGAAAGGTGGCTAGGTTAATTAATATGCCTAGTGATTTCATCTGTCACTCTGCTGTGGTAGAGCAGATGGAAATGCAAAACAAGTTTTTTTTTTTATTATTTTTTAGAATTGGGCAACACTTCATTCCATAAGCTGGAATAAGCGTTCCTACAAGTTTGTGTTTTAATATACATATAACTCAAAAGTGAGACTTATTTATGAAATACTATTTTGGAACTGGGCAGACTTGTCCAGAATTAATTGACCCTATTGAAATTCTAAGGTACTTTCTCTAAATAAAAATGCTCTTGCTATATTCGAAAATATTATTAAGCTGAGGATTTTATGGGTCTGAGAGGACTGCATCTGACTGTATAAGTTGTCCTACCTTCAGTGGGAGTTTGTAAGCTTTTTTTTTTTTTTTTTTGAGACAGAGTCTCACTGTATCACCCAGGCTGGAGTGCAGTGGCACAATCATGGCTCATTGTAACCTCTGCCTCCTAGGTTCAAGTGATTCTCGTGCCTCAGCCTCCCAAGTAGCTGGGATTGTAGGTATGTGCAACCATACCTAGCTAATTTTTGTATTTATTTAGTAGAGATGGGGTTTTGCCATGTTGGCCAGGCTGGTCTTGAACGCCTGCCTCAAGTGATCCACCCACCTTGGCCTCCCACAGTGCTGGCCACCACTGTGCCTGGCCTATAAGCATATTTTTAAACTGGATTTACGTAATGTTAAAATGGTATTGTTGTCAAGCTACCAGCGAGCAGTTTTGAGGGGCACTGGGCAAGTCAATGGAGGGAACTTAATTTTCTTATTTCAAAAATTGTAAATTAGACCTTTTATTTAGAGATTATAAAGCAATAATGTTTGATAGGTGTTGGTTGAATAAAAGAATTGTGTGGTTGGTTACTCTTTATGGTCAATTACTCTTTTTTTTTTTTTTGAGACGAATTTCGCTCTTATTGCCCAGGCTGAAGTGCAATGGTATGATCTTGGCTCACTGCAACCTCTGCATTAGCTGGGATTACAGGTATGCACTACCATGCCCAGCTAATTTTGTATTTTTAGTAAAGATGGAGTTTCTCCATGTTGATTGGTCTGGTCGTAAACTCCTGACCTCAGGTAATATGCCCGCCTCAGCCTCCCAAAGTGCTGGGATTACAGCTGTGAGCCAGTGTACCCGGCCTATGGTCAATTACTCTTTATGGTCAAAGACTCTAACTCATGCCATTGCTGATGGTATATAATAAGCCAGGAATAAATATGTAATTAAGTCTATTTATATGTAATAAAATCTTATTTCTTTCGTCAGTATTTACATGAAAAACACATCCTTCATCGAGATCTGAAAACTCAAAATGTCTTCCTAACAAGAACAAACATAATCAAAGTGGGGGACCTAGGAATTGCCCGAGTGTTAGAGAACCACTGTGACATGGCTAGCACCCTCATTGGCACACCCTACTACATGAGCCCTGAATTGTTCTCAAACAAACCCTACAACTATAAGGTAGGACTGGGCTCTGTATGCTGGCTCATCTTGTATCTGGGAGAGTACTCATAATTTCAGAAATTAGTTACATCAGAGAATTATCTGTGAATCTGTTTAAGGAAAATGTTTTCTTTTTTTAAAGGAAAAAATGTAAATAAGTGATTCTGACATTTAACCATTTACTATTTTTATTTTCTAGTCTGACGTTTGGGCTCTAGGATGCTGTGTCTACGAAATGGCTACCCTGAAGCATGCTTTCAATGCGAAAGATATGAATTCTTTAGTTTATCGGATTATTGAAGGAAAGGTAAAGAATAATCTAGAACTAATTGAGTAGTGTTTCTATAGTGCAGCCTTATAAATAGCTACTAGCAAAATCATTGATGATATTGATGAGTCATGGAGTAATAACTGATATTGGGTTGATAGTTAGGAATGGTAGGTCCCTTCTGTGGGGAAGGTCAGACTAGAGGAAAAGGGATTGATGAATCATTTCTTAATATTAATCTGTAAGATGGCTTAATGGCTCAAAATAATTGGCTTTTTGAAAACATATGCCTATAATCATAGAATGTGCAGATGCCCTGAGAGGCTATTTATATCTTCTAAGCAACCTATGATTCAATGAGCTACATTTAAAATGAGTTTACTCTGTTCAAACTTGACATTCCTTTGATAATCATCCCAATAATCAGTAACTAATTAAGAGCCACAGAAAGCATTGTGTCTGATATGGACTCCAAAGTGACTGGCTTTATGTGTTAGTTCCATGAGGCTAGTTGCCCTTTATAGTGTCAGGCATCCATGTACCGTTAAGTTTTTTTTTTTTTTTTTTTTTTTTTTTTGTGTGTTTTTTTTTTTTTTTTTTTTTTTTTTTTTGAGATGGAGTTTTTCTCTTGTCTCCCAGGCTGGAGTGCAATGGCATGATCTCAACTCACTGCAACCTCCGTCTCCCAGGTTCAAGCAATTCTCATGCTTCAGCTTACCAAGTAGCTGAGATTACAGGCACATGCCACCACACCTGGCTAATTTTTGTATTTTTAGTACAGACAGGGTTTCACAATGTTGACCAGGCTGGTCTCAAACTCCTGACCTCAGGTAATCTGCCCGCCTTGGCCTCCTAAAATGCTGGGATTGCAGGTGTGAGCCATTGCCCCCAGCCAATGTACCATTAAGTTTTAAAGGCCATGAATCACCTACTGATATTAGTATCTCACAACTCATTTAATTTTTCAATTTGAAACACATTGAAAAACAGACACAGAAGTAAAATTTTTTCATAATGCAACTACTTAAGAATCAAACAAGAAGGGAGTGAAATTCTTTTCTCTTTCTATGCCCATTCCCTGGAAGATGACCATTGCTAGCAATTTGGCACATTGCCTTTCTGGCTTTTTCCTGTCTTTAGACAGACATAACTCTGTGTGCGTGTGTGTGTGTGTGTGTGTGTGTGTGCGCACGTATGTACACCCACAGATTTTTGAAAGAAACTGAAATGGAATCAGGCCGTTAATGTGGTACATAACTTGTTTTTTCGACTGTATATATGAGGGACATCTTTCCAAGTCGGTACCTGTAAGTCTTGTATTTTTTAACCTGCTGCCTAGTTTTTTTTTTTTTTTTTTTGAAGCAGAGTCTCACTCTGTCGCCCAGCCTAGAGTGCAGTGGCATGATCTGGACTCACATCAACTTCCACCTCCCTGGTTTGAGCAATCCTCTGCCTCAGCCTCCTGAGTAGCTGGGATTACAGGTACATGCCACCATGTCCAGCTAATTTTTTTTTTTTGAAACAGAGTCTCACTCTGTCGCCCAGGCTAGAGTACAATGGCACAATCTTGGCTCACTGCAACCTCCACCTCCCGGGTTCAAGTGATTCTCTGCCTTAGCCTCCTGAGTAGCTGGGACTGCAGGTGCACCACCACACCCTGCCAACTTTTGTATTTTTAGTAGAAACAGGGTTTCACCATATTGGCCAGGCTGGTCTCCGACTCCTGACCTCATGATCTGCCCTCCTTGGCCCCTCAAAGTGCTGGGATTACAGGTGTGAGCCACCGCACCTGGCCAGTTTTCTTGTATTTTTAGTGGAGATGGGGTTTCACCATGTTGGCCAGACTGGTTTTGAACTACTGACCTCAGGGACTCTGCCTGCCTCTGCCTCCCAAAGTGCAGGGATTACAGGCATGAGCCACCGCACCTGACCCTAGTTTCTATAAGAAGAATGTATGATAATTTATTCCACAAATTCCCTATGGATGAACACTTAAGTTGTTTCTAATTGTTTACTACTGCAAGAACAGTACTGCATTGAACATCCTGGTCCATAAGTCTTTAGGAAACTCATGCTCTTATTCCTCAATGAGAGAGTCATCAAATGGGACTGCTGGATTGAAGGATATACTTTTACAATTTTACAACTTGTTATCTTACAACTGGGATACCAGTATGCTTCCTATAGACTAATATACTGATTGTTTTCGGCTTATGTGAATATATGACTTTAAATAAATATCAGGAAACCTCTACCAGCTTTTACTTTGTTTCACAAGACCATTAGTCATATTTACAGTATTATTTTTCTTTGTAGCTGCCACCAATGCCAAGAGATTATAGCCCAGAGCTGGCAGAACTGATAAGAACAATGCTGAGCAAAAGGCCTGAAGAAAGGCCGTCTGTGAGGAGCATCCTGAGGCAGCCTTATATCAAGCGCCAAATCTCCTCCTTTTTGGAGGCCACAAAGATGTAAGATACTTCCCTTGCAAATAGCTGGGCCAAATAGATGGGGTAAAAGAAGATGGCTTTTATAATATTCGTATGCAAAAATTGATGGTGAGTTTTTTAAAACAAGAAATAAAATGGCATGATTACATATGTAGAGGAGGGAAAATTCTACCCTCAGGGTTTTTTGGCTGAGCTTGAGAATTAAACTTATAATTTAACAGGAGAAAAGCATATAGATTTATTTAATACCTGAATAAGTTTTATGTGACACAGGAGCCCTCATAAGGAAATGAAGACCCAAAGAAGTGGCAAAACCTAATTGCTTTTGTGCTTGATTCAACAAAGAGAGGCACTTGTGGAAAACTAAACTATGTGGAGAGGCTAAAGGAAGATAAGAATTAATTTTAATAAGGTCTGTTTATAGAATTCTCTCAGTTTCAGCTTTCCATTCTTGATGATAAGAATTTTACTTTCTTTCTGGTACAGGGAGGACATGTTTCATATGGGAGTTTTATCTCCTGCTTTCTAGAAGAAAAAGGGAAGGTCAGAGTGCCCTTATTGCACTTACTTTTTAAAGCTCCTTAGGCCAAAATAATCTTTATGCCAAAGTAGCATATTTTGGCATGGCATATTCTCCCAGTCTTCAAATATATTTGCTTAATTTGTAAAATCAGAAATTTGGAGAACCACTGTCACATTCCTCAGAGGGTTCTAAGACATATAGTGTAAGTTTTTTTTTTAAAGGACGTATGTACTACTCTGGGTACACTGCCTGTGGGTTGGCCCTGTTTGCAAGGAGCAGCCAAATAATTTTTTTAAAAGGGGCATATGTTTCAGAAATTATAATTAGAGAGTATTTGAGAAACTTATCCATCTCACTATGTAAGATACTAATATTTAAAAAGTAGTGCTTGCATTTCTGAGAGCTTTTATAAAGGTCTCTCTTCATTCATATAACTTCCCAAGAGAAGAATTCTTTACTTTGACTTGCAGATTCTACCTTTACTAAACAGGTGTTCCAGGATCTAAGACTTAGGGCTGGACAAAACTATTACAATCTGTTTGGCTTCCCTTCTTGCCTTGTGGCATGTTAAATTTGGAAAGAGAGGAGACAGTGCTAGAGATGCCTCCGGGAATAAAAAAGAACCATCTTTTTGTGCACATTGTCTATATAATTTCTCACCAACTAGACCTTTGGCCTTCCAATGCACTGATCTTCATGCTCCTCTTGAATTCTCCAGGGGTTTGGCCCGGTTTTAGAAATAACACACTAAAATAGTTGGGGATATTATTCTTGTATACTTTTATTCTATGAGTCAGGACTAAGTATACCAATCATTTTTACTCTCAAAGTTAGCCAAGCAGTTGTGGTATTATTATAAACATGTAAAATTTGAAAACAAAAATTATCCTGGTACTTCCGTGTGTGAGGCAATCTCCCATAGAATTTGTATTTTGGAGTAATTTTGTATAAACAAAAGTTGGAAAGTTAGTGTGGAGAGTTCCTGTATATTCCTCATCTGGTTTCTTCTGTGATTATATGCCCTAATGCATTTGTCAAACTGAGAAACCAACATTGAAATGTTACTGTTGCCCTGGTTGGGAGCAGTGGCTCATGCCTGTAAACCTAGCACTTTGGGAGGCTGAGGCTGGCAGATCACCTGAGGTCAGGTGTTCGAGACCAGCCTGGCCAACATTTAGAAGAGATGAAACCCCGTCTCTACTAAAAAAAAAATTAGCCAGGCATGGCGGCATGCGCCTGTAGTCCCAGTTTCTTGGAAGGCTGAGACTTAAGAATCACTTGAACCCAGGCAGTGGAGGTTGCAGTGAGCTGAGATCACGCCACCACACTCTAGCCTGGGTGACAGAGTGAGACTGTCTCAATTTAAAAAAAAAGAAAGAAATACTACTGTTGACTAAATTCCAGACTTACTTTGGCTTTCACCAGTTTTTTCTCTCTAATGTCTCTTTTCTGTTCCAGGATCCAATCCGGGATATATTACATCTAATCAGGGGTCCATGATTGTTTCTCACATTATTTTTTATTACCTTGATTGTTTCAAAGACTACTGGTCAGGTGTTTTGTAGGATGTTCCTTAGATTTTTAGAAAACTATTCTCTATAAATGGTCCAATTCTATAAGGGAATTCATTGTATATACACATACTCCCACATATACATAAAAACCCTTAATCTTCAATGTCTTGATAATTTTCTTTTTTCCTTCATAAAGAAAAACCTCCAAAAATAACATTAAAAATGGTGACTCTAAATCCAAGCCTGTTGCTACAGTGGTTTCCAGAAAGGCAGAATCAAATCATGAAGTAATCCACCCCCAACCATACTCTTCTGAGGGTTCCCAGACATATATAATGGTACGTTTCTTTTTAAGGGGTATGTGTTTTAAAACTGCACTTAGAAAAATAGGCCATCTAAGTAAATTATTATATGTGAAACAATTTGCTTTACTGAAGATTCTGTTGTACAATTAATTCCTTATTGTAAGGAAAGAATGCTGGTTAAGGTGGTTGATTTAGGTTTATCCAAATTGGGCTGTCAAATTGTTCATGAAGTCAGTGCTGTAATAACTAAGAATTTTTTAGGTGAAATTTATGTAACGAAACTAACCATTTTAAAGTGAACAATTAAGGCTGGGCATAGTGGCTCATGCCTGTAATCCCAACATTTTGGGAGGCTAAGGCTGGCAGATTACTTGAGGTCAAGAGTTCCAGACCAACCTGGCCAACATGGTGAAACCTCATCTCTACTAAAGATACAAAAATTAGCTGGTTGTGGTGGTGGGCGCCTGTAATCCCAGCTACTCGGGAGGCTGAGGAAGGAGAATCGCTTGAACCTGGTAGTTGGAAGTTGCAGTGAGCCAAGCACACCACTGCACTCCAGCCTGGGTGACAGAATGAGACTCTGACTCAAAAATAAGAATAAAATAAAATAAATAATTAAATAAAGTGATGAATTAAGTACAGCCAGTACATTCACAATGTTGTACAACCGTCACTTCTGTGTAGTTCTAAAACATTTTTATCACCTCAGGAAATCCCTTCCTCATTAAACAGTCCTTCACCTGGCCCCTGGGAACTACCAGTGTCTTTCTCCGTGAAGTTACTTGTCCTGGATATTTCATATAAATAGAATCATTAAATATGTGACCTTTTGTTTCTGGTGTCTTCCACTATATTTTCAAGGTTCATTCATGTAGCGTGTATGAATACTTCATTTCTTTTTAGGTCTGGCTACCACTGTATGGATATATCACAGTTTGTGTATCCATTCATCCATTAGTGGGCATTTGGTTTTTTTCACCTTTTGGCTGTTACTATGAACATTTGTGTGCAAGTAGTTGAGTACCTGTTTTCCATTCTTTTGGATATATACCTAGCAGTGGAATTGCTGAGTCAAATGGTAATTTTGGTTTGATTTTCTGAGGAACTGTTGGCACTGTTTTCTGCAGTGGCTGTACCATTTGACATTCCCATCAGCAGTGCACAAGGGTTCCAAGTTTCTCCACATCTTTGCCAACACTTGTTATTTTCTAAATTTTTGATTCCAGCCATCCTAGTGGGTGTAAAGTGGTATTTCATTATATTTTTAATTTGTATTTCCCTAATGATTAATAACATACAGCATCTTTTCACGTGCTCTTTGGCCATTTGTATGTCTTCTTTGGAGAAATATCTGCTAAAGCTTTTGCCTTTTTTTTTTTTGAGACAGGATCTCACTCTGTTGCCCAGGCTGTGCAGTGGTGTAATCACGGCTCACTGTAGCCTCCCTCTCTTGGGATCAAGTGATCCTCTCACCTCAGCCTCCTGAGTAGCTAGGACCACAGCATGCCATCATACCTGGCTAATTTTTTTATTTATAGAGACAAGGTCTTATTATATTGCCCAGGCTGATCTCAAACTCCTGGGCTCAGGTGATCCTCCCACCTTGGCTTCCCAGCGTGCTGGGATTACAGGCATGAGCCACTGTGCCCAGCCTTTTTTTTTTTTTTTTTTTTTTTTTTTTTTTTTTTTTTTTTTTTTTTTTTTTTTTTTTTTTTTTTTTTTTTTTTTTTTTTTTGTGACGGAGTTTCGCTCTTGTTACCCAGGCTGGAGTGCAATGGCGCGATCTCGGCTCACCGCAACCTCCGCCTCCCGGGTTCAGGCAATTCTCCTGCCCCAGCCTCCTGAGTCGCTGGGATTACAGGCACGCGCCACCATGCCCAGCTAATTTTTTGTATTTTTAGTAGAGACGGGGTTTCACCATGTTGACCAGGATGGTCTCGATCTCTTGACCTCGTGATCCACCCGCCTCGGCCTCCCACAGTGCTGGGATTACAGGCTTGAGCCACCGCGCCCGGCCTTTTTTCTTTTTTTAACAGAGAGGATCTTGCTCTGTCACCCAGTCCTTCACCTGGCCCCTGGGAACTGGAGTACAGTGGCATCATCATAGCTCACTGCAACCTCTGAACTCCTAGACTCAAAGTATCCTCCCACCTCAGCCTTCTAGTTAGCTGGGCGTACAGCTGTGCACCACTGTGCCTGGCTAATTATTTTTGTAGAGTTTGGTCTCACTTTGTTGCCTAGGCTAGTCTTGAACTCCTGGGCTCAAGCAGTTCTTCCTTTTCTTCCCAAAGTGCTGAGATTACAAGTATGAACCACGTCACCCAGCTCGTACCCAGTTTTAAATGGGTGTTTTTTGTCTTTTTGTCGTTGAGTTGTAAGAGTTCTCAATCCGTGTTCCAGTTACTAGTCCCTTATCAGATGACTTGCAAATATTTTCTCCATTGTCTAAGTTGTCTTTGCTTTCCTTTTATAATTAAAAAAAATTTTTTTTCACTCTTTTGATAATGTCCTTTTCACAAAAGCTTCTAATTTTGATGAAGTCCAATGTATCTATTTTTTTCTTTTGTTGTCATAGCTAAGAATCCCTTGCCAAATTCAGCATCTTGAAGGTCTATGCCATAGTTTCTTCTAAAATATAGTTATAGTTTTTGCTCTTATATTTAGGCCGTGGATCCAATTTTTAGTTATAATTTTTTTCATTATGATAAAATACACATAATGTAAAATTTACTATCTTAACCATTTGTAAGTGTACAATTCAGTGGTGATAAATACATCTACAATGTTGTGCAGCCATCACCACTCATCTTCATAACTCTTTCATATTGTAAAACTGAAACTGTTCCCATTAAACAGTATCTCCCCATTCCTTACTACCGCAGTCCCTGGCAGCAACCATTCTACTTTCTGTCTCCATGGTTTTTAAATACCTCAGATAAGTGGATCATGTAGTATTTGTCTTTCATGACTGCCTTATTTCATTTCACATAATGTCTTCAAGATTCATCCATGTTGTGACATATGTCAGAATTTCCTTCCTTTTTAATGCTGAATAATATTCAGTTGTATGTAAATCCCACATTTTGTTATCCAGTTCATCTGCAGATGTACATTTGTGTTGTTTTCACCTTTTGACTACTGTGGATAATGCTGTTATGAACATGGGTCTACACATATCTCTTTGAGACTCTGATTTCTTTTCTTTTTTTTTATTTTGAGATGGAGTGTCGCTCTGTCACCCAGGGTGGAGTGCAGTGGTGCCATCTCAGCTCAGTGTAACCTCTGCCTCCTGGATTCAAGTGATTCTCCTGCCTTAGCCTCCCATGTAGTTGGGATTACAGGTATTTGTCACCACACCCAGCTAATTTTTGTATTTTTAGTAAAGACGGGGTTTCACCATGTTGGCCAGACTGGTCTCAAACTCCTGACCTCAGGTGATCTACCCGCCTCGGCCCCCCAAAGTGCTGGGATTACAGGCATGAGCCAAGACCCTGATTTCTATTTTTTTGGGTATATAACCAGAAGGTGATCACATGGTAATTATACTTTTAACTTTTTGGGGATCTGCAGAACTGTTTTCTACAACTTCTGTATCATTTTACATTCTTTTTTTTTTTTTTTTTTTTT